GGGGTCGTTTCACCGATTTATTTCACATTAAAGTTTAGATACAATCGAAATCCTCGGTACGCACCTTTTAATAAAAGTAGTAATCTCTTTGAGTACTGCAAAATTATAGCATTTATGTCTTCAAAAGACGGTAAACAAATAATACCAGCGAATCAATAGTATCAGCCTCGAGTGCACATGGTCAGGTGGTTTTAGGCAGCCGTATAAAATGCGATCTGGTTTAGAGAATATAATAAAGATAAATGCTATAAATAAGTGGGTATCAGAGACGGCGGGAAACTCCCTCGTATGGACGGGTCCGCTCGGGCTGCGGTGCAGGGCTCGGGGAGCTGGGTTAGTTAGCTAACCCTAACCCGCGCCCCCGAGCAGCCCCGGGACCCCGCCGAGCCTCCTCCCCCGGCCTACCTGCAGTGAGAAACCTTATTTCTGGTTAAGAAAAATAAAAGTCCCATTTAAACTTTATTGAATTAAAGCAAAAATTAATTTTCAATATTCACACATATATTACAGAGTAATAGTAAAAGTTCAATATACTTCCTGGCGTTTAGTTGGGCCACGTTGTACAAGAGCAAAACAAGCATCAAAACATTTAGCAGCCTTAAATTTCACAATCACTCAGAATTACATAGAAATATTGAAATGCTCTAGTCAGCCTTGGCTGTGGATAGTTCTTCATGTAGAAATTTTTCCTTTTGCCAGCCAGTACACAGCAAGAATTGCATTTCCCCTTCCATCATGGCATCCATGTATTCAAAAAATACTTTGCTTTTTTCTTTTTTTAAAAGTTAAACTCAGAGAAAGAGTCAAGATTAACATGTTTTAAAAACAAAACTACAAAATATGCTGTAAAGAACAATGAAAATATCTAAAGTCTACTTGTGTGAGGCAGAAGCCATGGGGGAACAATGGCAGATTACACCAATGACACAGAGATGGGAACTAATTTTGTGGGAGGAGAGAGAAGAATATAAATGGGGGTTTGATCAATTATAGTGTCTCCGGCCTGTTGGCTGCAACACAACAAAAATAAGTAGTAATTCTTCAAAGCAGATGTACACAAACCTAAGCAGGATTAAGCTTCTTTAATATTTGAATGTAAAAAGTCTGCTGTCCATGACTCTTCAAACCCAGCTTTGACTTGGGAACTTGTAAGAGATTTCTCCCTTTTCTTGGACGAGAAGTGATTTAAAGTGGGAACACTAGAAATCCAGAGAATGTTGAATACTTCCAGCCTCCCATCAAGTTTCCTCTCTCCAGTTTTAGATAAGCTCTGTCTCCTTTCTCCATCTGAATCAGTACTCCATTGCTAGCAGCTTCTCGGGTCACATCTTGGTCCCCTGCAAAGGCAGAAATCACTGGCCACCCGTTTAGCATCAAACTCACCTAAAGAGCAAGATAAAACAAAGCCCTCTGTCAATTAAAGTCAGACAATGACACCGCTGGGGCTCGCCTAACAGGCAAAATGCTTAGTTAAGGAAAGGCCTCTTCTGACAGCTGAAACTCCAGCCCCATAAAAAAGAAATACCAGTCTAAACCCAGGTAAGGTATGTACTCCAAAGGAAGAAGTCTTTCAGCACTGTTTTAGACTGACAACCACATCAAAACACCCGGTGCATATAAAACAGGACATTGATCCTATTTTGGAGGATTTCAATAGGGTGCCTGTGTTTTCAGGCTATGAAAAGAGGTCTGCTTGTACTTATTGAAAGATGGCTTTATGCGAAACCTCAGAGGCAGCGAGGAGCAGAGCCACAGCCGCCGGAGTCAGGGCCTTTGAAGTGTATTCAAGGGGTAGTTTTCCTTTGTTAGGCAGCAAAGACAATATGCCACAACACAGTCAATAAGGTCTGCTAAGCTCGCGGTAATGATCCCGGGACTGCACACCCCACATTAATAATGCACTACCTGCCCAAGCTAGAGGTGTTAAGCCACTTACACCAGAACGGTGCTATAGCTGTCCATACACCTTTGCAAAGTGCATCATTATACAGTCAGATTTCCTGTCTTGATTGCACTACCTGGCTTCAGGCCGGTAATTTATTAACCCTACCTAGAGCCGCATAGGCATCAAACCCCGTAGAAACGGCAGGTACATACAGGGTGGCTGCACAGACATGCACAGATTCATTATCTTTTCCATGTCATAGGCACCTCCCTGAACCCCAAATCCCTATGAAACCTTCTGCCATAGGAGAGTGGGTGAGAAGCCTGCCAGGGACGGCCGTTCCCAGGGGCTCTGAGCAGGGATGCTCCTGCCAGCGTTCCGCGGCACTGGGCAGTCCGAGGGCCCGGACAAGCTGGGAGGCAGCGGCAGGCGGCCGATCACCTCCCATCCCGGGACGGCTCATGCGGAGAGGGGCGAGCGGAGGCCTGGTGGGGCTCCGTGGCCCCTTGGGCACCGTCCCCCAGGCGGAGAATAGCCGCAGGTCTGCGCTCCCGCGGCTGCTCGGGGGCACGTCCCGCCCCGCCGCCCGCACGGCCCCGTCCCCGCCGAGCCGTCCACTCCCACCCGCGGTGCCCAGCGACGGCGCTCGGGGCTGACCTGGATGGTTTGCCTGTTGTACACTTTCACCACGTGAAAATTGAAACTGTAAATCCCTTTCCTGGGCGCAATGAAAGTGCTCCGCTCCGAGTCGAAGTTGCTGCCGATATTCACTAGTACCTGTAAGGGAAGGGCACCGTCAGCACCAACGCGGGGCCACCGCCGCCCAGCCCCGCTGCCCCCCGGCTCCCAGCGCCCCCCCTCCCGCGGGCAGGGCCCCGCGGGGCGGCGCGTCCCGGCCCGGCCCCGGCAACTTCTCCCACGGCGGCGCGCACCGAGCCCCGGAGCTCCCGAGCCCCGCCGCGCCCATCGCACCTGGTCGAAGTAGATGATCATGGTGCGGTTGCTCATCTCGGAGGGCTCGTGGTTGGTGCTACGGATGGCGGAGAAGGCGACCTTGGCGCTGCCGGAGCGCACGGAGATGCCGAGCGCCGTGCCGGTGGGGTCGGAGGTGGGGTTGGAGTCGCACACCACGAGGCACTTGCCCTCCAGCACGATGGGCTCCGTCTCGTTCTGCCCGCACGCCACCCACGCCGCGCCCAGCAGCAGCCCCAGCCCCAGCCCCAGCCTCGAGCCCCGCATGGCGCCGCGCTCCCTTCGCTCCGCGCCGGGCGGCACCGTCCGGGCTCCGCTCCGCTCGCTGCCCTGCCCCGCCGCGCTCAGAGCGGGGCCGAGCGCGCCCCGCCGGGTGGGAAGCGGCCGCGAGGAGGCACCGGAGCGCCGGCACACATAGCGCGGAGCGCCGCGGCGCGGAGCGGGGGCCGAGCGCTTCGGAGCGGAGCGGAGCCGCCCGCCGCGCCGAGCGGGGCTGAGGGAGGCGGCGGGAGGCGGCGGCGCTGCCGGGGCTGCCGGCGAGCACAAAGACGGCGCGGGGCGCGGCCCCGCCTCCCCACCGGCCCCGCGCTGGCGTCAGCGCCCCGCGCCCGCCTCCGCCGCGCCCGGCCCAACCGGCGCCCGCCGCGCGCCGCCGCCGCCAATGGCCGCGCAGTCCGCCTGCCGCCGCCCGCCGCCGCCGCTTTTGTGGGGCGGCGCGGGCCCGGGCGCGGGAGCAGGTGCCCGGCAGCCGCCCGCACCGCACCGCACCGCGTAGGCAGGAGCGCCGGGGCGCGGAGGCGCCGCGCGGGGCTGAGGCAGGGCGGGGCTCCAGAACTCCCGTGGAGCGGCTCGGACCGGGGCCGTCGGGCGAAGCCGGGCTGAGGGCCCGTGGGGCGGAGCGGGGCCGCGGCTCTCCGCGGTGCAGCTGGGCGAGGCGGGCTGGAAGGGAGAGGGCTGCTGCCCGGGCAAAGGGCCACCGCCGCCTCTCAGCAGCCGGAGCACCACCGGCTGTCACCCCGCGCCCCTCCCGCCGGAGATCGCGCCGAGGGACGGGATGCCGCCGGTCCCCCTCTCAGAAGTGTCAGGCTCCGCTGTCTTCTTCAGCCGCCTCGTTCGTATCCCGGGGAGGAACAAACCGCACGGCTTCCCGAGCAGGCAACTCCGGCACCGGGCACCGTCTGTGCCTTTCGTGGCCGGCAGAGCGCCGTGAAGACACGGACAGTCCCGCCGGGCCAGGACTCTGTGCCCTGCCCGCCACGGGACCCGCCCGGAGCGCGGCTTCAGGGTCGGCGTTGTTTCGTAAGGTGCAAAGATTGCTTCGTCTCGGTGGACGTCTGACCTGTGTTCGTTCTGGATGTGCTGTCAAAAAATCATCACCCGGGATTGTAAATGAAGAGATTAGAAACAAACGACTGGAACAGAGTTATTTTCTAACTGGCAGATCTGTTTACAAAGTTAAACTTCAGAGATAAAAACTTTTGTGGAGTTTTAGCATCTTCTGTGGGAAACTGAATGTCATCCAAAACTTGGCTCCAGTGCAAATCATTATAAATTTTGGTAAATGCTTTACTTTATTTTATTGTGCTGTTCCAATTGTGTGATTCGTAAGATTTTTTACTTGGGGTCTCTCTCTCTGAAAAGTGCCATAAATAAAACTTTGTCCATATAGCTGCCCTGCAAAGTTCAATGTGTGTCTGTAAAGTTGTTCAGACAGTCTGTGAAGTCTCAGTGTGCCCGTGGGTTGGTACTGGCTGGCTCTGAGGGGACGGGATGTAGCGGGAGCCAATGGCATCAGGAGCCTCCCAGGGAGGGTCCAAACACCCCGCGCTTTAGATGTTCAGCAGCGAGGCAGGCTGGAAACCAATGTAGTGGCAAGATGATTCTAGGGGAAGAACAGTGGTCAGAAGGAAGTTGGGGAGATAAAAAAATAGAAACAAATATTCTCCTGAGAAGCAGAAAGTGAGTGGGTGGAGCCACAGCCTGTTAGAAGGTGTGTTACGTTTTACTTCAAGACAGGAGCTTAAGATTTACGACAGTCTTAACTCAGTCTGAAATCAGAATCAGAAACTTTAAAATAAAATTTATATTTCTAAGGAGTAGTAATAAGGCTAAACCAAATAAAAACTAGTGAAAATGAGCATTTTGCATTCTTGTCATTTTGGCAAAATTACTCAGGGAAATGGAAACAGAAGGAGCATGATGCTGCCTTTTTAATTTTTTTGAGCACTTGACTCAAAGAAACATACATGTTCTTTCAACACACATGACTCATAAAAAAATATTCATGTATTTCTCTTGTAATACACTTCTTGTGCATGACAGAAATCAATTCTCTTGTGCTATAGAGCTCTTTAGGTGCAGTTTGTGGGTTTGAGGGCAGGAGAGTGCCAGAGCTGGAATTGTTTGGTGTGGTGACCCCGTGGCAGGAGGCTGGGTGGGCCTCCTACCCCCAGGCTCCTTGAGTACTCCAATGACTCTGTGGATGGAGTTAGCAGAAAGAGCCAGAACAGGGCACCTGGAAAAATGAACAAATGTGTCACTTTATCTCACACAGGAGGTGGGCAGGCAGACAAGGGGGTGCCAGGATTCCTGTGCCAGACACCCTCATTGTCAGTGACTTTCATTTCTGCACACCTGACTAGCACTGTAGCACCCAGCTTCTGCAGCTCTGCTGTAATAAAGTAACACCTGCCATGCAAATTAGACCCGACTTCATTTTCATTAAATGTCACATGCAGCTGACTAGGCAGTTGTGTTGATTCTCTCTGTGGTGACAGTCTCTGACTCGTACTGAGCACAAAGAAGAGGGGCTCAGCAGGAGGGTGTAGGGACTGATACATAAGCACATGGCATAATTGGTGATGTGTGGCTAAGAGCTCCCCATCCAGGAGTGGAAATCTGAAATCCAGATGCTTACAGAGGGCCAGGAATTGTTACCCCATCTAATTACAAACTGCAGTGTTAGTCAATGTCATTGAGATCCAAGAGGGCAATGGTCATTGAGATACACTGGAAATGGTGTCAAAGTATTAACAAATGGTAATAGATGTTGTAGATGTTGGTCTGAAATGGATATATTGGTCAAGCAGAGCTCTTTGGTGTTTGCTTTTAAGAAAAAACTGTTGTGGATGTGGTAAAAATATGTGAACTGTCCATTATGTGGTAACTCACCCTGACCTCAATATTGACAAATTGACTGCAGACTATGAGTTTATAGAACTCCCCTAATGTTTCACCCCAGGTTAAAGAAACAAAAAAAAACCCCAAACAAAACAAAAACACCAAAAAACCCAAACAAACAATTTGGAAATAATCTGGACAGAAAAAAAAAATGGAATGATCCTACTTAAGTCCCTGAAGCACCACTTCAGGACTGGTTACTATCCTGCTCAGATCATGACAGGGTTGCTTATTTTGTACCAGAAACAAAACTATGGAGACACTAAAATAACAATTTTTTTTACCTCTGAAGAAGCAAGTTTAAAGCTCCTAGATGCTGAACTTTTATATGTGGAAACCAAAACATAGTTTAGCCAATAAGCAGCAGCACTACCTGGCCTCCATTACAGTGTCAGTGAGCCTTAATCCTATTTTAGGAAAACCATCCTTAAAACTCAGTCTCACTACACATCTAACTTCAGCTTCACTCATGAAGAAAGTCTCTAAGGGGAACAAGCATAAGCTTCTCTGAAAACATGTATAGAGAAATCTACTGGAAACCTTTCTATTTCCTGCAAGAGAATAATTTAGCAAGAGTTTAGCTTGCTGTGTATAAATTCACCTCTTCACAGACTACTTCCCTTTTGATTTAATCCTTCTTGAATAAGAAATGCAAGGTCTGGTCCATAACTGGATAACTTATATGAAATGCAGTTTGTTCACAATTCTGAAAATGCAGTTTGTTCACTGCTGTATTAGTTTATGAACTATAAGCAGCAAAAAGCAATTCAAGAGTTTATATATGCCCACATAAACTTAAGATACTTGTCTTCCCAAACATCTGCTGGGATTCTGTACAAAGTCTGAAGATGTGTGAAAATGAGATTTAGAGTGAACCAGCTCTTGCTGATCCATACTGTGCTCTGTCTAGAACAATCTGATTTGCTGTTGTAAGAGAGGTTTGCATGTATTTATGGTGATTTGCCCATGGTGTCACCTTCAGCTTCCACAGCAAGTGAGGCATCTCAGGAGCAGGCTGAGTTCACTGAGAGAGTGCACAGCAGGAGCAGATGCACTGCGAGGGTGCCAGCCAGCAGAATTATCTGTAATGCTCCACACTGTAGAATAAAAAAGGCCCAGGATTTGCTGTGCCTCTTGCCTGCCTGTGCAGGTTGTACTCAGCAGAGAAAAAACATCAAATGGCACAGACAGGTTTGGGGCCAGGGCAGAGCAGCACCAGGCCAGGGATGGACACCAGAGAGTGCCTGTGCTTTCTGAGGTGTGTGGCTGACAACAGCCAGGTAATCATTTGTGTATATTTCTGTCTCAAACTTCTGTAATTTTATTTCATCAAATGAAACCAGGTTGTTTCCCAACATTAATGATGCACTTTTTTTTTCTATAGAAAAATAGTTTTGATTTTCACTTTTAGATATCGCTTCTGCTAGAGAATATCAAATAATATAAGCTTAGTGTTTTTCCTGTGCCTTCATGTGTTTTGTAATGTTACGAAAATTGATAAAATGTTGAAATAAAAATTCAACTCTTGCAGTTCACATCTTTGGCAAACCTGAGTCTCAGGAGTGGGAATTTTTGATGGATACAGGTAGTTACAAACAGAAGGTCAAAGGGGAAAGAGTTATACAGTCTTAAGCAAGTGGGGATTGCAGCAGTAAATTAGTGTCAAATTATCTACCTTGAAGGATCCTTGGGCTACACAGGCCTTATACTGGGCTTGTATATTTTGAAGAACAACACAGCTCATTAAGATAAATTAATAATAAATTTCATCTGCTGAATTTTACTGCCCGCCTGCAATACAGTGTTTGATTTCTGATTTCACATATGTATTACATAGGGCAACTTTGGAAGTGGGAAGGAATATTAACTCACTGCTAAGGACATTTGAAAACCCCATCCCTGAGACAAATATTAAACATTCTGGTTTATACAATTGTAAATGTCCATGTCTAGAATAGCACTATCAAGATATTTTTTTTTAACATTGGATTTCAGTCTTACCTTGAGATGTCTGTTTTACGGCTGCATTTACCTATGGCATGCACAGCAACAGATCTCTGTTGCTGTATTGACTGATGATGTGGGATAATTTATTACTCACGTGGAATATCAGCAGATTTTCTTTCAGGTACAAAAATTTCCAAAGTGAGTGATGATGCCAAGGTCAGGAGCTCAGTTTGTTTTCCTTGTCATGGACTTCTGTCAAAACAAGTGCATTGTTACAAAAGAATAACTCAAACTGGGAATTAGTTGCCATTCAGATAGGTAATTGTATTTTAACAGGGCAAAATCCCAGCCCAAGCTGCCAGAGAAGGCTCAGCTGAAGCCAGCACGGGCTGGAGCAGTGTGTGTGCTCTCTGTAATTGTAAATGGGGCCACCTCGGTCACGCTGCCTCTTCAAACTTAAAAGAATTAAGACCAAAGCTGTCCAAATGTTAACTGAAACTCCTAATAATTAAGGGTTATTAGGGGCTGTTGGCTGGCTTTATTTTCTACTGCAGTGCACTTGTATTTGTGGATTCTATTTATACACAGAATTAAGAGCTCTGTTTGAACAGGTAATCCAATCTCCACTGTGTAATTTAGCCAAGGATTTTTTTTTTCCTGGCCCTTAATTTTGGCCGTGTTTCATTATGTACAATGCAACTGCAATACTAAAAATAATCTCATTCAATATATTTTATCTGAAAGGATAAATTAGACCACCTTACAAATGCTGGGTAATATTCTGATTTTTTTTTGGTTTGTTTTTACTTATGAAGGAAACCCCAGAGGTGCTGAGGGGAATTTTTTGTGTGCATCTTTCCCTCTAGTGGCTGCTCTTCTCAGGGAAGAGCAGCAAGAGCAACACTTCTGCACTTCTGTATTGGGGACAAAGGGATGGCAGGATGGAGGGAAGGAGACAGACAAACTTTTAGATAGCAGGAAATTAAAATTGAATGATGAGCCATAGAAGACAAAGATAAAACAACCATGGATTTGACTACATTTTCATGGAAAATGCAAAGTGTTCTTGAAATGTTGTAATAATTTTGATCAATTGCATGCAAGACCAGCTTCTCAGCCACTTCATAATCTATCACGCTGATCCTTTTTGTCAGTCAGTCACATTCCCAGTGGTTGCAGGACTCATGGAGTTGGAAAATACCTCAGTGACAGCCCATAGACCAGCTGTCCCTCATGTACCCATTCCACACCCTTTTCTCCAGTTTGCGAAATACTTGCTTCCTTTTATCTGTCCCTTTCTTTTTGGCAGCATTAAACCCACAGCCAAGTGTCCATGTTCTCTGTGTCCTTTTGGCTGTTCCTGCTCTGCGTCAGTGCCTATCCCACACCCCAGCACCCCTTCCCAAATTGTGGTTAAAGGAGTGAGTTGAAGCCATAAATCCACAACTGTTCAGAGGATGAGGTGGCTGAGACAGCACTGCAGAAACACAGCTGGCCCAAGCAGAAAACAAGGCTGCAGGGGAACAACCACCACGTGGAATATTTCATTAGGACTTATTTATGGTCTGCATGCAGCAGTGAGGGCTCACAGGCAGTGAAGCCCATGCACTGTATTGCATCTCTGCTCACCTTTTTCAAGTGTTGAACCAGTGACTGTGTGGAGGCTAAACACCTCAAATAGAGTAGGAAGATAAAAAAATCCTAAAGACAGAGAGGGAGAAAAAAATCTGCTGTAACTTCATTCATCGCTCACATGGATGCCAACCTGGGTTAGTTTTCCAGTCCTTTAGCTGGAGACATCTTTATTCCTCTTTGCTTGCTTTCACCCCTTTGTTTTCTTCCATTTTTGCTAGTTTTATAGCACAGTTGCTCTCTCCAGCCAGACTCATTTATTCTGGCTCAGAATTGAACGGTTTAGGTCTTTGCCAGCTACAGTAGCTGAGAGATTTCCTTAGCCCTTGTCGTTTACTGCTCTGACAGTCTACAGTAACAAAGCCTGTTAGATACCTCCCCTTATTCACTGCACATATTGGGCATATGTGGAATCCTGGCTCAGAAACTATCACAGGGCTACCCCAGGGTGCATCCCAGGGCACTCTTCCATCAGAAATCAAACCTGACAGGACTAGCAGATATAGGAGGTTAACTTGGAACCATAAGCCACAAACAATTAAAATCCTGAAATATTAGTATTTAATTAAGGGCTTCTTCTAAGTAACTTATTTGCTATTCAACCAGTTAAAAATGTCTATAGCATTTCTCAGAAGAATTTAGACCAACCCATGGTTAAAAAAAATTAATAATAATGGATTACTTACAAGATCTTTGAATTTCTACTGGGACAGTTCTTCCTGCACTTATTTCTCTTTAGGTTTGAATGGGAAAATGATTAGTAGTTATGTCTATCTTCAGCAAAAAAAGTAAAATAGTAAATTCTATCAAACACTGACTACAGCTACTTTTTATCATAAAATTTTACAAAGTCCCCACCAGTGAGCTCATTAGTGTAAATGATAGAGCCTTATTTCAGGTTTAAAGTCAGCAGTTTTCCTTAGCTACCAAGCAGCCTGTTTTCTTTTGTGACATGGTGATGGAGGACCTTACTCCAGAGAGCAGGGAAAATTTCCTCTCTGTTCTTGCAGGGCAGGCGAGTAGGGCTGCTAAAAGCAAGCAGACTGAGTGGGGTTCAGTACTGTCAGTGTCCTTCTGGAAGCCTTTCTGAAAAGGGGCAGAGCCTTTGTGTGTAAGGGAGAGAAGTGCACAGTGCACCCCAAGCTTGTTGTGAGGAGCAGATCTCAAGGGACGATGGAGGAGAAAAGCTGTTTCTAAAGAAAATAACAAATTCTCCCTATTCTACCCTCCAAAATCTTTGTGGCATACTAGCACAACATGACATGCACATTAGCATCCCAGGATGCCATCTGTGTGCCTCACCACACACTGGTACCTCAGCAGAGTGGGGACACTGCACTGTCCTGCTGGCAACAGACACGGCTGGGGCTGGTCTCAATTTCCATGAGCACCTGCAGGGGTAGAGGCAAGAGGAATGGGTTGAACTGTTAAAGACAGTGACAGCTACAGATAGAGATAAAAATATTCAACTGAAAATGATTACTTCAGTGGCAAAGAGGGGGAAGGGGGGGGGGGCAAAACCCTGAATACCAAGTAATTTCTCTTGATTTTCATCTTAAAACCCCTAGCCTGGTAATTGTGAGTTAAACGTGTTAGCCAGCACATGGACACTGTGCCATGCTGCTTACTGAACTCTGCTTTTCACGGACAGTGATTTCTGCACTGATCACAGGGCATCACAATAACTCTAATGAGCACGGTCAGGGGCTGGGGCTGGATTGTTCAGATGGGTTTGTGCAGGAACCGGGGGCTGTCACTATGTCCAGTGCTCATCCGCTGCTTGCTGAAACCATAACACAGCACAATTCCATCCTCTGAGCATCGGGGTATTTTAAAACGTTGTCAGTGGCTCTGAAGGAGAGCCCAGCCCCGCAGCCACCGCGGCGCGGTGCGGAGGGGCTGCGGGAGCTCAGCCCGGTGGGAGCTCAGCCTGTGCGGGAGCTCAGCCCGTGCGGGAGCGCAGCCCGCTGGAGCTCAGCCCGTGCGGGAGCTCAGCCCGGTGGGAGCTCAGCCTGTGCGGGAGCTCAGCCTGTGCGGGAGCTCAGCCCGTGCGGGAGCGCAGCCCGTGGGGGAGCTCAGCCCGGTGGGAGCTCAGCCCGGTGGGAGCTCAGCCTGTGCGGGAGCTCAGCCCGTGCGGGAGCGCAGCCCATGCATGCCCCGCTGGAGGTCAGCCCGGGCGGGGATTGCAGCCTGTGCGGGAGCACAGCCCATGCATGCCCCGCTGGAGGTCAGCCCGGGCGGGCCCGGTGGGAGCTCAGCCCATGCATGCCCCGCTGGAGCTCAGCCCGGGCGGGCCCCGCAGCTGCGGGCTCCGGGCGCTGCCGCCGAGGCACGGCCGCTCCAGGGGGAATCCAGAGCTGCAGCCCGGAGAGCCTTTCAGCCCGGAGAGCCTTTCAGCGCAACAAACAAAATAACAAACGGTGAGATGTGGGCACACAGATTTTCAAAGTTTGAGTTAGTAAAGGCTGGAGGAGCGTAACTTTGTTCCATTTCTGAAGGAAACCTGCTATCCCTAGAGGCAAGAGCAATCTAGTTTAAAAAAGAAAATAAAAAATCCTGGAAGCAAACCACCTTGACTTGGTGAGGAGAGAATATATCTCACAGAAAACAAAATGTCTTCCATTGACTAATCGGAGCAGCATTGTTTAAATATTAAGCTGTGAAACAAAAAGTCACTATTAATTTCCCTGGGGTTAAGCAGTGAATTCTTACCTCTCAATTCTAGATTTCTAATTTTGCAGGCAGCTGGGCTTGTGGTACCCCCCACAAAAGCATCCTTTGGTGTGCTGATTCCCTGTAAAGTTCCATCCAAAGCCTATCAGGCTGACAGTCCACTTTTTTCTTTCATCTTCTCTCAACCTTGAACTTACCTCACCATCCATGGACTTGAGTGTTTTGTGTCATTTCTGGAACTGCAATTGTGCTACAAGATTAGGGCAGAAAAAGAATAAAGAGAATTGTTTCAGATGAGGAGGACTTCTATATTGCAGGTTTTTTCAGGTTCACAGAGCACAGGGAAGTGCCTGTAGGCTGCAGTAAGCTCCTGGCCTGGTACAAGGCCCAGGGGAATGGAGATTTTTTTATTTGCTGAGCATTGCAACCACCCCCTCCATGACTGGTGTGAAGGGTGGCTGGGAAATGTAGGGAGAACTCCTTTTCCTCAAGGGCTAAATCTACTTGTTTTGGAAACTGCTTATATAGATGAACTTTTGAGGAGATACAGATTGCACTTCATGTAATTGTCACCGCTACTTGGGCCAGATTCTTATTTACAGTGGAGTAATTTTTGCATATATATTAAATACAGCAGTGGTGGAAAGAATAGTTAACGAATATGGGTACCTAGTTCTCCATCAACACTGCCTCCACAGGTACATTTCATCCCCTGAAACAAAAAACCCAAGTGAAGGCTGTCACAAATATCATGTCTTACATATTCCTTCCTCTAACAATACCCACCAGCAGATTGTCCATCAGTGCTGCAGGCAGCTTGTGACAAACTGCTGCTTCAGTAATTACTGAAGGTCTGTATCACATTTGTGATGCTGCTCACCAGAGGGGTTCAAACCTAGAAAGACAGACATCATCATTTTTCTTTTGAAGCTGAGACCAAGTCTGAGTCAGTGGGCTGGCCACTGACTGGCTCAGCAGATCAGCAGTGGCACCAAACATATTGTATTTATTGAATCTGTGAGGGAAACAATGAGAGGTAGGATGGGAACAGCAGTGATACAAAGGGATAAGGAATCCAGTCAGGTATTGGCCAGCCACCAACATGAGCATATTTATAACAAAGATCATTTGAGGGTCATAATCAGGACATAAAGGGAATCTGCTTTGTTTGCACATCATCATCACCATTGTTCAGCATATTTTTAAGGTACAAAAATGCACATGTATTTTCCAAGGTTTTAATAAGAAGTACATTTTTCTTTCTGCACGTAACTTCTTTATTATTTTTGCATCTCAATTAAACTGGGAGTTCTTCATTTAGGTTATGTAAAATATCTACCTACAGAGAAACCTAGCTGCACTGAATGACTCTGCACCATCCCATTTTCTTCCAGGGTCAGCAAAATTCTTAAAGGCTGAAGTGTAAAAATTGTGTTGCACTGCATTTGCGCATTGCCTCCCCTCCATCCACAGGAGCTCACCTCACTTGCCTCAGTCCTTTTGCATCCTAGGGCTTATTTACAAATTGGCAGTAAAGTGCTGTAGCCTCTTTGACAGTCAGCAATTAATTGCACACAATCTGTTTAGGTTTCAAGATGCACTGTTCATAAATGATGATATATTCCAAAAGGCAGTCCAATTGGCTGCTTTGCATATTGCATATATTTTTCATATTTCTGAGACAGGACATATGCAAAATCATTTTACTGTGGCACAAACACAGGCAAGATTATTTGGAAGAAAGGCCAGAGGTTCTGTATCTAATTCTTTTACTCACCTGCTGCAGACTGTGGGTAAGTCATCTAATATTTCTCTGCCTTTCTTCTGCATCTGCAGAAGGTTGTTTATTCTTCTAAGAGCTGGAATTCAGTGAATGAAACTGTAATTTATTATTATTAATATATTCCAATAAAATGGCATTGCAGTGCTTTGAAGTCAGTATTAAAGAGGATTAAACAAAGAAAGAATTGGAAGAAAAAGTAGTTAAGTCCATCTGATATGCTTGCATGGAAATGCTATTTTTGTGGGATAACCTCCTCAGAACATGAAACTGATAAAGGCATATGTGCTACATGGATCCCAGAGCCTTGACAAGCTTATCTTTTTCCTCATCTTGAGTAAAGAGTGCCATGAGTCATGTGTCCCAAACCAAAAAGCAACTTTTACAACACAAAGCATTTAAATGTGCCAGTAAATACCTCATATTGACATCATATCTCTCACCATGCTTGCAATGAGCTCCTATTCACTTTAATTTTTCTCTCTTTTCTCCAACCCTGCCTTCCTGTTGTGAATTATGGGCACCTCTCAGAAAAGCGACACCCTTTAATGATACATGTAATACTATAATTGAATCAAAGTACTTTGTTTCCCCAAAAAGCTATTCTTTATTTGCTGGCAGGCTGCTTGTTTACCCTACATAATGTTTCCTAACATTGTCAGTCACATCAGGAAAGCCATCTTAGTCATAAAATAGCTATTGTAGAGGAAGCATTACTGGTTCTGTACAGGGCTTTTTAGCAGTAATTATGTACAGCTTTTAGTAATTTTGAGAGTCACCCAAGCATCATTGATACAAACCATTTGCAATGACATGCAATGATGCCTGTATAGAATTTTTACAAGCAAAATCAAATAAGACATTTTGGTGGTAGCATGTAAATTAGCCTTGAGGCTTGCAATGCAATGCTCATCAAGTGTGTAACATTTAATTACAAGACCACTGAGCATGAGTGAGGTCCCCTGAGCCTTTCATCCCCACAACAGAAAGATTCTCCCACTGAACTGATCATTTGAATCCTCTCATCAGATGTGGAGTGAATTCACTGCTCTCTCAGCAGGCCAAACTGGCATTTAAGGGTCTGGTGTGCTTCAGGACCCTGTTGGCTAAAGTACTTCATGGAGCCACTGCTGCTTGAGATCCCTTGTTGAGTCCCATCTGCCAGGAGCTGAGAACTGCAGTTGATAAAATAGCATGTCAGGAGGAATAGAGTTCACAAAAATTTGATTTTAAAAATTGATTGAAATTAATTGAATTAAGTTCAGTTGATGACAAGAATCAAATAGAAAACCAATTAGCCATTTCAAATTCCCAAAGTGATGCTGTTTTGCAGTAAGAGAGAAAACATTACTCAGTAGGCTTGCTGGAGATAGGAGTTTCATTTTTAGTGTCTATCTATTATGGCAAATAAATTTGGTAACTTACTTGTTATAGACAACAATATAGACCCTATTATGTGTGTGCTGTCCCAGTTCCTAGGTGCTGGAAAATGGGAAGCCTGAGGGACTTGCTGCCCTGCTGGATGTGGTGAGGGACAGCTACTCTTAATGTTCTGCAATGTCCTGGCTTCCCAACACTAAGTGTTACCTTTTTATGCAAATGGTAGTGGCAGCAGCATGCTCAATCTTTGTTATTTCATGATTAGTGTTTTCATGTGCAATCAATAAATGCCCAGAGCCTCTGTCTGAAACGGCCACCTTGTTCAGCCTCTCCAGTTGGGATGTCTGTTTAGCAGCAGGTTTTCAGCAGACCAAAATGTGGAATCAATGCCCTGAGAATAATCTGTCCTTATGAAATATTTGTATTTTTCCATGCAAGTTCTAACAGACTGAATGACTTTTCCAGTATGTAAGGCTTTAGTGCCCTGTATGGAAATGTGTCACCTTCACACCTGCCAGCACATCTGAGAGGATCTCTCAAGGTCACTACTGGATGGACTTGAAGAGCTTCAATGAAGCTTTAAAGTCATGCAGATACAGAACACCCACCTAAGAGGTTACAACGGCCTGTGAGCTACTCCAAAGTGTAGGTGAGGAGAGTCTGGGTAGGACATGGAGCTTTGCTCTCCTGAGCTCACTCCACACCTCTTCTGTCACTTGAGGCAAAAATGGGACCCTCTCTGCATCCCTCACCTAGGGAAGGAACAGTGGCTCCAGCCTGCTTTCTCTGTTGTTTTACCTGCTGCGTGGTTTCAGCCCAGTGTGGGACAGCAGCCCTCACCTCAGTCTGTCCCTTGGGCAGGGGAATCCTCTGCATTCTGTCCCCAAAGTATCCCTCCCTGGTTGTAACTGTACCATGACACCATTTTTTAACTTTGAAAAGTAAATACAATAATATTGTTATTAATAATTTTAATAATAATGGTGATTTAGGAGGACTTAAAAGTTTTTCACAATTAGTTTTTTTTCTTGACTCCTTTAATATAGTCACAAGACTGCAGTAATCTCCACATGTCTTTCTGATGCAGTATATATCTTTCTCATCATGGCTTTCAAAGGGGAAGCCCTCAGCAAAGGGTATGAGGTCACATTTTCATTTTTAGCCTGGTTTCCTAAGGAAATGAGGGTCATGCCATTACTGTCTGTCTGTCTGTTCTTATTTTTCTGTCATATTGCCTTACAGGAACTCTTGAGCCTGTCAGTCAACCCCAGTCAGAGTAAAAAAAACCTTTGTAAGTCTCAAGAATAAATCCATGCCTGTAAGGCTTCATGGCCAGTGTTGGCTGGGGAGCAGAAGGACACACAAACTGGAGCTCTTGCTGAGCAAAGGTGAGGAGAACTCAGCCAGTGCCATCTGCTTGGCAGCAGCAATGGACAAACCAGGGCTGGCCACTCACCAGCACGAGGCTAAATTTGGACAAGGCAGGGCAGGAGCAGCTTCTTGGCTGGAGAGGGTGGCGTGGTGGCTCCAGCTGCTCCCAGGAGTGGGAGGCTCCAGGAGCACAGGGCACCTCTCCCTCACAGGCACGTCTCTGATTCTGTGCTTCACTGGGGTAATTACAAATCTGTCATCAAATTCTGCCTTCCCTGCCAAAATAGTCAGAGTGTTTTGCAGAATACACACAGTGATATCATTCATGTTCTAGAGAGATTATAATTTAGGGATATAAATTATAGTCATTCCTAAAACATACTGCCTGCCTAAATTTTGAGTTAAGAGACTGGAATATAATCGCATGGTATCAAAATCATCCAGAAATTCTCAGATAGTGTTTAATCCAGCTTTTTATGTAGCTGAAGTAAAGCTATCACTGAGTTTAGTGATGCAGGACCAAACCTGGGCTGTATTTGTATTTGCTTAGTAGCACTACACAGGATGAAATAAGCACATTGTTTGTACATACTTTATATGAAGCAGCACTGTGTGGTATGAAAAAGCACTGAGAGAAATCCCCACAAAAATAATTAAAAAACCAAACCACCAATGATAACAAAGAAAAAAAATCACCCTGAAAAAAGCCACAAAATCAATAGATTATGAAAGCTATGCTGAGGCTTCCACTGCTATTATCCCAAGGCTTTATTATCAAATATCAAAAAATCATTACTGCAATATCAAAACAGCCATAATAACAATATAAAAACTCCACTCAATCTGTTCCTGCAGGGAACTGATCTAAAAATCCTCAAGAAAAAAACCAGTTGCTGTGAAAATGGCAGCTAGCCAGTTCAATCATGCTGCCAACCTGGTTCTATAATTGTACACCAGTCACTGCACCTCATGCCACTTCCATAGATAACTTCAAAAGAGGTCTTCAAGCAAACAAATTACAACTAAATAAGACAAAGAATGAAATCTTTTGGAAAGGCTCATAACTGCTATTATCAGGTGCTGTACTTATGGTTTTGGCTTTTTCTATGCAGTGCAAATGATTCCATATCACTTAGAAATGTAACTTAGACACTCTGCCTTGTGTCCTCCTGCAGAAGGTCAGTTCTTACCAACTTAAACGTTCTTCAGGTTTCCTTACCTCAAAAGTGAGAGTCACTTCAGCTTGCATGGGAAAACATCATCCTTGCTGCCTATGGGAACACAGTTTTAAGGAAAACAAGTTTCTGCATGAAAGACTTGTGTTGTTTAAGATTTCTGTATCTTTAATGAGTACTTATCATAGTGTTTTCAAAAATCCTCTTGGAACCTACATGCAAATAGAGCTTGTAGCTCATAATGGTATTTGGTGGGTGGGAGAGAGGGAGTGAATGCCATTCTCCATTTTTTAGTATAAGAAGAAAAGAAAGTTTTCTGGTCCAGTTTGTCCAGAGTGATTTGCTTCATTCTTGTTTGACACCAAAACACCAAGTCTGGCCTGAGATTTTTAAGCCCACTCAGCTCTTTGCAGTGTATTGTTATATTTAACGGTTATTTATAAAAGTCTCCTCTATTTAGGGACAAATCATAAATTCACACTAGTAACAGATGTCAGTCTTTTCTTAAGCTTGTGATAAGTAAGACTCATTATAATTCCATTATAATTTGCAAAAGTCATACCTTTTTTGTGTGGCTTTCTTCTTGAATGTGTGGGTAGCAGATGGCCCATCTGAATTCCAGAAAATGCACAGAGTTGGCTGACTGGATCAAAACAAGAAGTTACAAAAACGGAGGGGTGGGCAGAGAAATGACAGGGTTAAATTTTTCAGTTGCACAAGCTCATATGAGCTTACTCTGTGATTTTACACTGCTGGAAAAGACCTGTGGGAAAAGTACCCAGACCCCCCCCCCTCAAAATGAGAACTTTGTAGGTGAGGAACATGAAATCAAACCAGCCTGTGAGCAGAGAGCAGCTCTGCTTTATATTCCTCCCTGCCTACACGTCCTTGGCTTCTCTTGTGCTGCAGGCAGACTGTCTGAAGTCACCCTGCAGCCTTGCAGCCCATGATCTACTTCCTGACAATAACCAGCAAAAGACTAACGCTGCACTGGGCTCTGCAGTAGGCTCAGAGCAGCCCAGAGGCAGCAGGGCCAGCCTGCTGCTAGGCTGTTTGTTTATTTTGCTTGACATTTTCCTTTGTGGAGAATCTGTTCCTTGTTATTCAGGACGTACAGCCCTGCACATATCCTATGTGTTTAACTGTCTTTGGATAAAAGTGGGTATTTTCCCATGTCAATAAATGTTATGGTGTGAAGCTGTGAGCTGGACTCTGAAAGAACCACCCCCTGCTGATCATCTCACTTTTGCATTGAGTTTTCTTTGTTAATCATGTGCAAAATAAAAAGGCTTTCTGTCTAGCAAAAACCCATCATTAATTTTTCATATGAGCACTTAAATTTTGAACACAATCCTCAAAGAAGAGAGAATAATAAAACCAAAGAGCTACATTTTCTTTTTTGGCATCTTAGTTATTTGATATTTTAAGAAAACTTTTTAATGCAGAATTACGGTTCTCTCAGCTTCACAGTGACACATTCATTCTGAAGGCTACATTTGACCTTCAACTTTGTCCTTCATTAGCAGGATTACACCTAAACACTCCTTCATTTTACTGCAAATGAGACAGATGCAATGTGTATTCTGTTCGGCCCCAGCATTAGGATTATCCCAAGAGTGGCATTTATGTTCTTGTAGTTCCTTGGTATAAATAAATATCAAAGTAGGAAGACCAATCTGTACTCCACTAGGAATAATAAACTAAAATAATATGGCACTGATTCTGTTTGGGTTGTCTAAATGTGTTTTTATGATTGTATATGTTTATGGCTTTCTCACACAGCCACCATGAATTCCAGGCAATTAAAAAGGACATGAGTTCTGAAGCATTTTAAAAGGGGCTTTGCTTTCCAAATGGTGTGTATTAAAAGTAGAATATATTTTTTGACAGAACTACTGCAAAATCAACAGTTGCACACTTGCCCTGCTTCAAATTCCTTTCCCTTCTCCCACCTGAGATAACTAATTAGAATATTTCTGTGAGTTGAAAAGAAAGGCAGGGAAGGATTCCTTATGTTTGCACATATATCAGACGCAGGGCTAGCTCAAGCTCAGCTTGGAGGCCCCACATTTGAAAGTAGCTCAGAGGGAGAATTTAGCAGGTCTTGTGTCAGGTCTATCAACCTACCCATACTCAGTACAATCTGCTTTTTTCAGGCTGAACCAGTGCAGTATCACCACAGGTGGGACTGAGAACTCTGTGCTGCTCACACTGCCTGGCCTTCACCCCCACTTGACTGAGGGACACAGGTTTTTCAGTCATGGGTGCAGAGAAGAGCTGGATTTAATTGGACAAAAAACCACTGTGCTCTAACCTACCTCAAACTGGTCAGTCTGTGTGCTGTCATGAGTAATTGAATAAAGAAGTTAAAGTACAAGTAGTGAAGAAGCATTAAATTTGATCAGACTGTTAAATATTGTAGGCTGGCTTTTGTTATTTACATCATTTCAAACACAGGGGAAAGGGCCAGGAGAAGAAAAATATTTTTAAATAATTTTCCAGTTATGAACCAAGTCCAGTTTCAAATGGTAATGTTCAAGAAATACTTTGGAAGGCTAGAGAAAACTAATTAGATAGGTACATCAAAAAGGTACATTTTTAAAGGCAAAAATATCTTGTTTCTCCCTCAAGTAGAACCATCCCACATAACTTTATACATGAGAAAAAGTTAATAAATGGAAGAGAAAGGCTAGTAAAGCTTGATAATTTGCTGCTCCACACAGTGCCCCAAGCTGTCAGAGGAACAATTCATGGACTTCAGTAGTAACAAGATAAATTTCAAAATTTAGAATTCAGAATTAAAAAACAACTTATTGAAGAGTATGGCTACAGCTGTCACTAAACTGTTAATAACACATCTGGAACAAGCACCTGGAATCACTGCAAGGTCTGGAGACATGATGTTGTAGTTCCAGCAAGTGGATGGCACAGCCTTGGATGAACAGTGGATGTGGGCAAACATACCTAAAAATTCTGAGCCAGGAGCATTGAAATAGACAAAAAGTCATATTTTATGACAAAATCACTGGGGATTTCTGCCCCTTCACTTGTAAGATGTTACCTCTGCATCGTTCTCTGAGCTTTGGTCCATCAACCTGTTGCATAAGTACTTTACTGGGAGCACAGTCATAAAGAGAACTATTAGCCCATTGTGCTGAAGTGCAGAATGTCAGCTGTTTAGTGGAAATGTATCATCATGTCATTATTAAATATTTATTTTGTTGTAGCACCAAGAGACCAATCCTGTCAGGTTTCCTCTGTTAAATTTTTTATGAATGATTGTCCCTGACAAGCTGACAGGAATATGAAAGAGCAGAAATTGACACAAGCTTCTGGTGTTTCCAGAGGAAGGGTGTAAGTCCTGTCCAGGACTCTTGTTTAGCAATGAGATCCCTTCTGGAGATGAAACTAGGATAACCTCTGCCAGGAGCAGGGCAAAGAGCAAAAACCCTGAAGAGCCAAAAGTGTTTCCAAAGGCAACAAAAAGCAATCTAGTCCCTCTGGGGGGTGAGGAGGCAGGGAAAAAAATGTAAGCAGAATGAGGGAAGTCTATCTTAATTTGTTAAAATTGTACCCCAGTTCTGACTGGTTTAATCAGGCTCTGAGCCCTGCCCAGCGGGGCACAGCCAGGCTGGAGGCAGAGCCAGCCTGGGGGAGCTGCCCTGCAGGAGCCCAGCCCTCCTCCCTGCCTGGCTGGACAGTCCCTGCCTTGTCGATTACAGCAGGAAATGTTTTTAAAGCTGAACAATGCAGCAGATCTGAGGGCAGACAGCTCAGATAATGAAAAGAAAAAAGAACTATTACTTGGAAATGATTGTTGCTTTGTCACTTTCCCTTAATTTCCTCAGTAACTGGTAGAAACCATTCCTTAGCAAATATTTAGGAAATAACATCCATAATACCATTTCCCTGCCTCAGTCTTAGCTATTGTTTCCATCCTTTTACTTTTGATGACAGGTGAGTTTCAATTGTAGTCCTTTTTATCAATGCCCAGTGTATAAATTATGCAGATTAAAGTTTCTAATTTCAGAGTAAATTTCAGAGATACTTTTCTTCTTGTGGTGCATAACAACTGGATAGCATTTTTATTTAGTTCTTCAAAGGCTTTGTGATCAAAATTTTGGTTTAAAATAATGCTAATTAAGTCCCCATGTTGACTTATGAAAGCAGAAGCGGAAATAATTAAATAAAAAGGTTTAATCTTCAGTTAATTTGTTAGATTCAGGTAAATAATACTGATGTTCACACTGTAATTTGGATGAAAAACCACTTTTTGTTGTTCTTAACTGAGTATGGTCCATGGCTGGAACAAACTGACCATCAGTCACATCTTCACCTGGTGCAAATATTTTTTAAATTAATGCAGCAAAAGCAATGCACATCAGCAAAGAACTAAAGTACTATCAAGGCTCTGACTCTGAAAAACACCAAATCTTTGTTAATCCAGAGTGAAATTAGGGAGTTTCATGGAGGGGACAAGGATTCAGCTGTTTGGATTTCAAAGCTTAAGGCTCAAGGTTTGGAAGTAATTTCCTGCATGGCCATTTTCATTTTTAAGTCTTTCTATCTGTTTCACTGCAATACAATGAAGAAAACCTTCCTCATTCCCCAGAACAAAATTTTGGCTATCAAATAAACTTATTGTCAGACATTGATATGGAAGAGACCTCTCACAGCCACCAACTCCAATAGGAGAACTTCCCTGTCATTCGTAGAAGAGCAGCTCTCAATGGTTATTTATCTCTGTACAATGAAGCAGTTGGAGCAGCAGAACGCAGCTCTGGAGCAGGGCAGTGCCTGCTGGCTGGTGCCTTGGTAAGGATGCAAACTCAAGTATTTGTGTGCCTGGTTAATCTGGCACAGAGACCTGAACAGGCTCCTGAATTTCTTGCATGAGCTGCCTGACTACTGTGGTGCTGGACAGCAGTGCAGACCAGGGCCTCATGTAATTTCAGCATTGTAAAAGTCAGTATTTTAACTGCTACAGAAGGACTCAGGCTTTGAAATTTGGTGCCTTACAATGACACACCATTTATTGGAATATTCCCAGTTAACCTGAGCTGCATGTTTTGCTATTAAAGCCCAAAGAGTTAATATGGCACCAAACCAGAGGAATACAAATCCATATTGAAAATCATGCACAGCTTCCTTTTGTGTTGGATCACAATAACACTGCAGAAAGTCGGTCACAGCCTTGCACTGTTAGGTTTGGATTGCTGTGCATCACAAGCCTATTCACAAGAACCTGACAAATCTTTCTCATTAATAACAAATGACAATCTCACTGGTGCTACAATGCATGTTACATTTAATCAATTTGCTATTTATATTCATTATGTACACCTCCTATTTTGAGTCATGAAAAATTGAAGAGTAATTACAACATGGAAGAGCATCATGGATAACAAATGAGACAAGATGAGAAAAAGTACTAATAATTGGTCAGTTGTGCTTGTCAGTACATTTAAAGCAATTAAGGCAGGAAATGAGATAAGACAATTGTAAGCTTGAAGTGAAACAGAGCATCAGGAAAACCAATGGTATGGTACCCTGGTTATGACAAAAATGCAACCATCCAAACACAGGCTTTAAAGAATTGTTTACAGCTGTTACTTAAAGAAGTCTAAGTAACTTCCCTGAGTG